AAGAATAAAAAAGTACAATTCTCCGCATGCAGGTTCACAAAAACAAAATAAAATAACAGGGAGTTGGACAAAAAGAAGCATCTTTGCACCATCAGGAAAAAAAATGAAAGAAAACCCCCCAAATAATCCCACAGTAATTAACCTAGAAATGTGAAGAAACAGCAGTCAGACAACACACAAAGAAGGAACAGTAAGAGACAATAGATCACATCCTGAGCTGCTGCAAGAAGATCGCGCAGATAAGACTACAAGCAGAGACACAACACTGTTGCTCAGATGATTCATTGGAACTTGTGCCACAAATACCATCTGCCTGCGACAAAGAACTGGTGGGATCACAAGCCGGAAAAGTTACAGAGAATGAACACGTCAAACTCCCCTGGGACTTCCAGATTCAGACAGACAGAGTTTTGGAGTATAATACTCCTGACCTCACAATCGTGTTAAAAAACAAAGTATGGATCGTTGATGTCGCAATCCCAGGTGACAGCAGGATTGAAGAGAAACAACTGGAAAAGCTGACACAATATGAGGATTTAAAAATCGAACTGCAAAGACTCTGGCACAAACCAGTAAAGGTGGTCCCAGTGGTGATCGGCACACTGGGTGCAGTACCTAAAGACCTTGGCCTGCACTTAAACACAATCGGCGCTGACAAAATTACCATCTGCCAGTTGCAGAAGGCCACCTTACTGGGATCTGCACACATTATTCACTGATACATCACACAGTCCTAGACACTTGGGAAGTGTCCGACATGTGATCCAGTTCAACAGCCAGCAGAATATCTGTTGTGGACTCATCTTGTTGTGTTAATAATAATAATAATAATAATAATAATAATAATAATTTATTTATACCCCACCTTACTTACTTACTTAGGCAATCCCTCGTTTTCAGAGGAGGATTGTCTTCCAGTGTTCTTGTGGGTCCGTATGTGGCTGTGGAGCCCTATTCTTGCTCTGCATCTTCTTCCGCAGTGAGGGCATTGGTTTCCAGGTGGAAGGTGGTCCCGGTCGGGGTTGGCTTGACGCGCCTTCCTCTTGGCACGCTTCTTCCTTTTGCCCTCTATTCGTGCCTCTTCAAATTCTGCAGCACTGCTGGTCACAGCTGACCTCCAGTTGGAGTGGTCAAGGGCCAGGGCTTCCCAGTTCTCAGTGTCTATGCCAGAGTTTTTAAGGTTGGCTTTGAGCCCATCTTTAAATCTCTTTTCCTGTCCACCAACATTCTGTTTTCCGTTCTTCAGTTCAGAGTAGAGCAACTGCTTTGGGAGACGGTGGTCGGGCATCCAGACAACGTGGTCAGTCCAGCGGAGTTGATGGCGGAGGGCCATCGCTTCAATGCTGGTGGTCTTTGCTTCTTCCAGCACGCTGACGTTTGTCCGCCTGTCTTCCCAAGAGATTTGCAGGATTTTCCGGAGGCAGCACTGATGGAATCATTCTAGGAGTTGTATGTGACATCTGTAGACAGTCCACGTCTCACAGGCATATAGCAGGGTTGGGAGGACAATAGCTTTATAGACAAGCACCTTGGTATCCCTATGGATTTCCCGGTCCTCAAACACTCTCTGCCTCATTCGGAAAAATGCTGCGCTCGCAGAGCTCAGGCGGTGTTGTATTTCGGCGTCGATGTTGACTTTGGTGGAGAGGTGGCTGCCAAGGTAGCGGAAATGATCAACATTTTCTAATGTTACACCATTAAGCTGTATCGCTGGCATTGGAGAGGGGTTGGCTGGTGTCTGCTGGAACAGCACCTTGGTTTTTTCGATATTCAGTGACAGACCGAGCTTCTCGTATGCTTCTGCGAAGATGTTTAGAGTGGCTTGTAGATCTTCTTCTGAATGCGCACAGACGATGTTGTCATCAGCATACTGGAGTTCTATAACAGATGTTGTTGTAACCTTGGTTTTGGCTTTCAGTCTGCTGAGGCTGATGTGGTTGCTACCTAGCTTTGCCTCATTCTTCAGGGATACAAATAGAAAGGGAAACTTCAAGATGGCCAACTAAATGAATGGATTCCTTTATCTACCAACAACAACAACAATAATCTATCCTACACGTCTCCTTCTTAACATACTTACATCATCACTATTTAACCCCTCCCCCTAAATTGTTGGCAATAAGCCATTAGTTTTTATCTTTAATAATTTTAACTTGAAATAATTTCTTTAGTCTGCATTTGCCAGAAACTACTACATGACTAGCCACTGTTTTATTGATGAGTGCATCTGGTATTGGTACAGATAGTATTTACTACACACTGCTTTACATGCCTAATTAATTAATTCCCCATTTCTCTAACCACATTATTTATTTGTTGTTGTTCATTCGTTCAGTCATCTCCGACTCTTCGTGACCTCATGGACCAGCCCACGCCAGAGCTCCCTGTCGGCCGTCACTACCCCCAGCTCCTTCAAGGTCAGTCCAGTCACTTCAAGGATGCCATCCATCCATCTTGCCCTTGGTCGGCCCTTCTTCCTTTTACCTTCCACTTTCCCCAGCATAATTGTCTTCTCTAAGCTTTGCTGTCTCCTCATGATGTGGCCAAAGTACTTCAACTTAGTCTCTAGTATCCTTCCCTCCAATGAGCAGCTGGGCTTTATTTCCTGGAGGATGGACTGGTTGGATCTTCTCACAGTCCAAGGCACTCTCAGAATTTTCCTCAGAATTTTCCTCCAGCACCACAGTTCAAAAGCATCTATCTTCCTTCGCTCAGCCTTCCCTAAGGTCCAGCTCTCACATCCGTAGGTTACTACAGGGAATACCATTGCTTTGACTATGCGGATCTTTGTTGCCAGGGTGATGGCTTTACTCTTTACTATTTTATCGAGATTGGACATTGCTCTCCTCCCAAGAAGTAAACGTCTTCTGATTTCCTGGCCACAGTCTGCATCTTCATTATTTATTAACATCAAATAATTTAAAAATCTTTCATCCCAATCTCTGATTCAAGGTTAAAATCAAATCTCATCAAATTAATTGGATTATTATGTACCAAACTTATTCTATCTCCTGATTAAAAATGAATCTTTATAACTGTTCTGGCAAAAGTCAATGTTACTTTTCAAATTATGGGAATTTTAGTCCAAAGAGACACAAAATTGAAACTCTGATCAGATGACAAGAGATCTTAGCCATGTCATGAATATTACTGGATCAACTGGTAAACTATGCTTTATCTCTAGATACGATCTATTGTTCTAGTAAGCCAGTTGAAGTTTGGCGAGACTGAAAACTGATAAATCATCCTCTTTCTTCCTCCTACACCTAGGATTAGCAGAGACTTAGTTTTGATGGCCCCCTGGCATGAAAGCACCTTTCCAGAATAGGAAAACTCTAATAACAAGTCCCAGAAGCACTTTATTAGAATTAAGATTGCCGCACACTGCACACTGCACTTACCCTATAATCCTTATATATCACCTGTCACATCAGCACTTTTAATTCTGTACCCATTACTCTGGCCCGGCCCAGTTTTACTGTGTCTTGGTGTATTGTTTATTGTTTAATATTGCTTTAATTGTTTTTAATCTGCTTTAGGTTTTGTATTGTTATGTTGTGTTTTGAGGCCTTGGCCTTTGTAAGCCACATCGAGTCATTCGGGAGATGCTAGCGGGGTACAAATAAAGATAATAATAATAATAATAATAATAATAATAATAGTCTTTTTTTGTAAAAAAATATTCATGGCTTGGAAATGTTACTATTTGGACTATATCTCCCAAAATCCCCTGGTCACCATGGCCAGTCGAGGAGTTATATTAAAACAAAAACAACATAGATGTTTCCAAACTCTATAACTTATTTATGAATCCAGCTTAATCTCCTTGAGCTCAAAGTAACGGAGAAGGTTCTTTTCACTTCTTTCAGTGTATCATCACAACAAATCTATGAAGCAGGTTTGGGTGAGATGGCCCAAATGCATCAAAAGGAGGCTCTGAACTTGCATCTCTGCTGTTTCAAAATATTGATTGAGTTCTGGCCTTTTGATACTGCATCCTCCCCACTTGACTTAGTGATTCAGCTCTTCAGAAACCAAATTGTTCTTCCACACTATAAAATCAAGGCAGTTTGTGATCCTCCCAATGCTGTTGAACTCCCCCTTACATGTGAATAAGACTGGGTTTAAATAAGTATGCAGATTATTGTACTGCACATCCTGTTTTTCTATAAAGAGATGGAAGATGAGTGGAGATGTAAAAGCCAATTTGCACCTCTGCATTGCCCAAAAATTGCACTGGCATGTCACCATTGCTAAAAAGGTATCTCACAAGCCCAGAATAGATCTAGGATAATTTTTTAAAATGGCAAAATGCTGTGGTGCCTCCTAGATAGTGTTTATAGGCATTTTAGAAACAAAAGCAATTTTTGATTTCTTTTGGCGGAATGCAGCTCTACTGAGGAATCTGGTGCACCCTTCTATGCTCCTGCAACCTCCTACCTCCCCAATACTATAAGCTCAGTGATAGCCATCATGGGGATTATGAATCTGGAGTGTTTGTTTTTCTACAAGAGGCCAATGCTATTTTACTTACATTGATTCTGGGTGTGTGGATGGTATACCTTCAACAAACACAGACTTCTGACTTAATCAAATGTTTTGCCTCTTCCCTCCCCCCACTTGTTATGGCCAGGAGAGGAAAGTTGTGGGGTGATTCAAGTCATCCCACACCCACCTCCTCCTTCCTCTGTAATGGAAGGAAAGGGGCCAGAGCAATCACTATGTAGTGATCCCCTCATCAGACAGGGAGAAGAATAAAAACTGTGCTAAAAAGAAAGAAAATAGTGCAAAGCTTACATATATCATGGGCACCGCTCATTGTGACCAAATTTCTGCAGGACCACACCTCCCATTTTCGTGATGCCAAGGCTTTACAAAAGGGGCATAGCCATAAAATAAGGTCGAAAAGTGGAGCCCAGGGTTGTTTTCCCTAACCCCCCCCCCCCCCCATGAGGTCCTTCATATTTTTCAAACACACCTATTAAGACACATTAACGTACCAGCTCCAAAAATCCTCGCACAACTTGTCTCTGTTTCAAGTTGGTTTCCCCATCCAGATTAGCCGTCTCTATGTGACACAGGCCATCAGGGTCACTCGAAGAAAGCAGCAATATATCAGCAGGAATGATTTCATTGCAACGCAGCTGGATGAAGTCTCCAACTTTCACTTCTTTCCAGTATCTTGTGATGTATTTTCTTTCAATCCTAGGAAAAAAATGTTAACATGAAATAGATCAGAAATATTTTCCAATAAACATTCCTGAGACTGATTCTTACAAAATGTTGCAGTACAGGCCACCATCTGTGCTGTGGTGCAATTACGGTAGTCAAGTCTATGACACCAGATGGTTCCTGGAAATTTCAAATCTCAAGGAATGAAGTTGTCAAGAACAGAAGGCTCACAATTCAGTTTCATGAGAATGGAGAGTGGCTACTTAGGCTACGTCTAAAATTCTGTAATAGTATTAAAAACAAATTTTGTGGGGAACAAGGACACCTAGTTGTCCACAATGAGACAGAACAGATAAAAAGTGGATGGAGTGAATGTACAGATAGAGGAATAAGAGAGAAGGGGCAGGAAATAAGAAACAGAAACCATAGGCAAGGGCTGGGGATGATGGGTCAGGGAACCTAGAATGAAAATATTTAGGGCCAGGACTGCTATAATAGTGCAGTATGATGTGGAGGATGCAGGCTTTCACAACTGATTTATGTGCACATATTTCTGTGAAAGTACATAGGAGAGAATGATTTATGAAAAAGATGCCAGGGACCAAGAAATATATTTTCAGCAAACTGCATTTATGACTTCTCTTTGTAATAAGAACTGGGGGAAATATGTTCAGAATCCTTATATATTCTCAGTTTCAAACAAAAGTGTGGAATATGCTGAGCCAGAGGATTCAGTATCCAAGGAACTGAACTTATTTCTAAACAGAAAGAGCCCAAGCTTTGTGGCCATATAGCAGCAATATGGACAATGTAGCCCACCAGATGATAAGACTTAAAACTCCCACCATTTTTTCTCCAATAGCTATGCGAGAGTTAACAACATTTGCATACTGACGCTCATTACTAATTTTCATGTCTGCAGAGTTCCTATCTGCTTTGCTATTTTATCCCACTTCTCTTGCATGAAGTGCTCCACAACCATTTTATATTTTTTTATATCTTGTGTTTAGTTAATTAAATAATCAATTAATGTATACATTATTACATGAACAAATATTTGTGAATATATTGTGATATATTATCTGCTAAACTTTGTGGGGAACATGGAAATGGTTGTTGTCTTGCCAATTTAAATACAATAGGCCCTCCACATTTAAAGGTATCATTTTTGTGGATTTGATTATTTGCAGAGTAGATTAATATGTTCCCTCTAGAAATTTTAGGACCCTTATCATGACTCTAAGGTCAACATCTGAAAATGAGTTACACTGGAGGACCTAGATTCCTAGAGAAAACTCTATACTTTTATCGATTTGCTAGTATGCTTCTATGGTCAAAATACAGCAGATGTTAACCACAGAGTTCTATTGAAGGATCTAGAAATGCCTAGAGGGATTTCTCTTGGAATAAAAAATAAGGTTTGTTTTTTTAAAAATGTGTTTTTTCCTTCTCTTGTGGAGGTCCTGTATCCCTAGCCCAAGTGCATGTGGAAGAATGACTGTACTCTGCTTGAGAGATGCAGTACTATCACACAGACTGACAGACTATGCTGCCTTGGATAACTAGGACTTGGATTTCAATAATATCTGGAGAACAAGGCAATTTCTCACCTCCTCTGAAGTAACTCATGGATGTATACGAGACAGCTTCCCCCAATCTGATACCTTTCAGATATTACAGTATAGTTCCTGGGATGATGGAGGTTGTAGTGGAACATATCTGGAACGATCCATATTACTCAAACTTCTTAATAAGACCCTCCTGAACACACCAGAAACTATGAGAGATCTAGATACATGAGATTTCAAATTATAATGGGATTAAGTTTAATTTGCTTCCAGACAGGAGAACAATTTTGTAAAAACTGGCAAACGTCATAATTTTATTTCCATAATGCATATGAATAAATCTAATCAAATTTTGCTGGGGAAAGAGTATGCTCACTTGGTGACAGAATCCTGAATTCATTTCAACACAAATTAAATACTCAATATATTATGAGAGTATAGTAAGGATATAAAGCATCTAACTTTAAAAAATCAAGGGCTGCAATCTTACACAAACATGTTTAGTAATATGTTCTACATGACTCAACAGACTTAAGATACGTTATCTGCTGAGATTTGGATCCCCCATTGGCACAAAAATGCATTAATATTCAATTATATTATGTACAACGGCATAATAAAACTCTGTCCCTTATATATAATGGCAAATCAAAAATTGCTTTTTGGAAGTATGTTTGAATATTTTTAAGCTGTGGATGGCTGGATTCAGAATCTGTGGGAAAAGAGCTGATTGCACAATGAAGTTGGTCTTTAGAAGACTGCAGTAGTGAAGTTAGGATTACAGAAATAATTCACTATATTTTTTCCCTCAGAAGTGACGCTACCAACATGAAAATACTTAATTAAGAAATTTTATCATTTGAATTCAGACTCCCTATCTTCATCACAGTACAAGTATTAAATAATGTATCATTGGCAGGGTGTGTATTAACTCTAGTTTGTGAATGGTCACTCTAACTATTTTTCACACTTCTGAAGTTTGAACTCAGCTCCTTGCATTTCATTCTCCTCTAATGTTTACATTTATCTCCTCCGTGAGAGTATGTTTACATCCCTGTCAGCTCAAGATCACATTCCATACATCTGATGAAGCATGCTTTGGTTGATAAAATCTTATGGCACGATACATTTGTCAGTCTTTGTCAGTGTAAACTGTTAGAACAGAACAGTTTCCCTCAACTTGCTGCCCTCCAGATGTGCCTAACCACAACACCCATAATCTCTAGACAGCATGCTGACTTGGAATGACGGAAATGGAGTTAAATATGTTGGAAGGGAATGAAATAGATGACTGGATCCCAAGACCTTCCATCTCTCAGCAGTACCAGTGTCTGAGAAGAGCCATCCAGTCAGTTAACAAAGATGAATGCCAGTATCATATAATTATCCAGGACAGGAGTCATGATGGAGTCTAGCCAGAGGTGCAACTCTTGCTACTTGTTTAGCTTGTGGTATAATCCAGACAAACAGACTCAAAAACATTTAGAAAGATGTGGGTACAAAAAAACAACTATGGGCATTTTCAGCCACATAACAAGCAAAATTGCAGCTAACATCCTTGTGAAATACCTAAGAGACTTTCCTAAGAAGTTGGCTATCTATCTATCTATCTATCTATCTATCTATCTATCTATCTATCTATCTATCTATCTATCTATCTATCTATCTATATGTCTCAGTACAAAACAGCTGCATTCCTACTCTTTCCGTAACAAGTATGAATTAATATTATTCCTTATAAGGAGAAAATGAGAAGCGCTCAGAATGCGAAATGGAAATCTTGCAGCCAAAAATATACTATCAAAAACGCACTTGAGTATAAATCACAAAGCCAGAGTCACTGTGAGTATTCTGCTAAAAATGCAGACGCAGAGCTAGTATGGGAAAATGATATTCTTAGGTCTTTTAAGTTCTCTTCACATCTGTTAAGTAATTCATAGTCTCTGCAGAGTGTTCACACTTTTTGTATTTTAACAGTGTTCAAGTATCATCACATGTCAATTCTTTTCCAGAACTTTGGATGATGAAGTCATTCTTTCTCTCTTAATTGAAACAGAGACCAGAAATTACTGTTAGGTTTGCATTTTTGTTAGTGCACCAGTTTATGGTACTATTTGCTGAACGTAGGACTTGAGTGGAATAAGGAGAAATGTGGGCCACACTTGTTATCTTGGATTTAAGGATCTCTTTCATGACTTCCTTATCAGAGGAAAAAGACAACACCCAAGGGAGAGATTTTCAAAGAAGAGAAATCTTTTTGATAAAAATGAAAAGGATATAAAATGTGTGCTTGTATATGTGGAAGGGGAGCTACATCAGAGGGAAGGAATAGTGCACGAAACGACAGACACTTAGGTATAGCTTGACTAGGATGTTAATGGACATGAGACATGTTTGCTTTATAGGATTTTCAGAATCAGAGGTAATTTGCTTCTGAATGCCAATTAATTAGAAAAACAACAGCTGGTAGAAGCAGTTCTCCTCAAAAGTATAAGGATATTGGGTACTAATGGTCCTGCCTGTGGGCTTCCCATAGATATGTGGTTGACTATGATGGAAATAGAATGCAGGACAACAGATAAAGCTAACCAGAAAAAGTGTTATTTGGGCTTCAGGTTTTCAATCTGGGTTTCCAAGTCTCCTTAATAAATCAGGCTGTGTGACATAGGAAAGAAAATGCGGGGTGGGATGACATTATGTGCTGGTTTAACATAATTTGTTTTTTTCCCCTTACCTTGTGAAGCAAAAAGGACAGCCTTTCCTTTAGAAAACAATGGTTTACGTGAAATATTGGCAACACTCACATATACTGTGGGAGTTGAAGGGAGGAGAGAATAGAATCATGTGAGATATAAGCACTTATCTATACATATATCCCCTATTCTCTGAGGTCATCACACTACTGGTATCTCTATTGCTTTCCAAACCATGGATTTTGCATCCACAGGTTCAACCATCAGAAGCTTGAAAATACTCTTCCCTAATAATAATAATAATAATAATAATAATAATAATAATAATAATAATAAAACCATTATTTTTCTCATTTTCTAGGGGTGTGCAAGATTTCATTTTTGCATACCAAATTAAAATGATTTGGCAGATTCAGTTGCCAAATTCATGAAAACAAGTCTAGCACAGGACAGCCATTACAGATCACAGCAGCCTGATCTTTTTGGCTAATGGGGGCTAATAATGGGGACCAATGGGACTTTGGATGGGCCAAAGAAAAGCCTCTCTTACATTAACTAGGAGATCTGGAATAAAGTAAGCACTGCTGTCAATGGAAGCCTAGTAGCATTTTAATTGGGATGAGGACAGGGGAGAAAAAGATTAGATTTCTGTTCCTTGGCTCTTGTTCATCCCAATGGAGTGTGTGTGTGTGTGTGTGTGTGTGTGTGTGTGGTGCCTCTTATTAACTATTCTAAAAACACAAACATAATTCCTAACCTAGCATCCATTTACCACACAGCATCACATTTAAATCAACCTTTACTCTTCAAAGTACAGTTCCAGGACCACCCACGATAAGTGAAATACCGCGAAGTAGGGATGCTTCCTCCCCCTTCTCTCTCACTTCACCTTCTCTTTTCTCTCCTCTTTCCCCTCCCTTCCTACCTCCCTCGGGCACCCATGCCACCCGCCACTGGAGGAGACCTGAAGTGCGGCAGCTCCTGCAGAAGCAGCATGAGCCAAGCGAGAGGGACAAGAGGAGGAAAAGCAGTGGAGGAAGGAATTTCCTCCATCGCTTTCTCTTCTCTTGCCCTCTTGCTTGGCTCGTGCTGCTTCTGTCTCAGTGGCAGCCCAGTGCAGCCTGGCCAGTTCTTTGATCCAGACATTTTTGCCCCCACCAGGCTTAGGGGCAGCGGCTCCGGTAGATCCCTCCATTTCCTCCCCAGCCCCAGCATCATCTTCTTCCTCCTCCCCCTCTTCTTTCTCCCACTGCCTCAGGAGGAAAAGCGGTGGAGGGAGGAAGGCAAGGAGGGATGGAAGGCAAGGAGGAGGAGGGCCGCGCGGTGAAAATGTCCCTCTTGCCAGGGGAGGGAGGCATGGGTGCCTGAGGGAGGGAGGAAGGGAGGGGAAAGGAAAGAGAGGACGTGAAGTGAGTGAGAGAGAGAGAGAGAGAGAGGGAAGGATGGAAGGTGAGGAGGAGGAGGGCCATGCAGGGAAAAATGTGAAACAGTGAGTCTGCAGTAAGCAAACCGCGAAGGATCGAGGGAACATTGTATGCTCTTTATTTATCATCTGTGGAAGTCATTAGCTTTGCTTTCCCTGTGCTTTTCTCTTTATCCACACTGAACACTTAAGAAGCTATTCCTACACATAAAAAAGCAAAGGGCTACAGAGAAAAAAAAAGAATATTCTAGACATTACTTTCTGTCCTGGATGAGTGACCCAACTGTTTCTATTGTGAGGCTATTTCTACCAGCTTGCTTCATATGTTGGGAAGGGAAGATTTCCTCATGGATGTACACATTCCTCAGATCTAAGACATTTTCAAGACCACTTTCTAAATTCATATTTCCCAGATTTTCTCTGTAGATTTGAGCTTAAAAAGGACTTTCTTTAAAAACAATAAATGATGAGCTTCTGATCTTAGGCTTTGAACAGTTTTTTCTGATCAGTTTTAAGCTTTGCTTATCTCACCATCTCATGGATGGATGGATGGAGGGGAAAAGATCTGAATATCTTAGCTTAGCAATTTCCACAACAATCTATTTGGTTCTTTGGGAATGCATTCAATAGAACAGTGGAGGCACACACTCAGCAGGTCTCAAATGGCACGTAGCACACTCTGGTAACTTTCAGAATCAAAGCAGAAGTTAGTTCCTGAACCCCACCCCAACTGCTGTCTGTTTGGTGGCTTTGGAAGGAACATTACCTTTGTTTCAAAAGATGTCAAATGCTTTGTTCTGCTACCCAAGGGAGATAAATAGTGGCACTAGAGGCAGCCTTCAGAAATGAAAGATGCAGCCAGAAAAGCAACTGCTAAAGAATAAAAAGAAAAAAAAAGGGGGCGGGGGAGATGTGTACTACAGATAACAACAATAAAGGTCATATTGGAAACAGTTTGAAGCTTAAACTTAAATCAGATCATATCAACTAATGTGGGAAAGGCCTATGAAACAGCTATGTAATAAAGGCTGCAATCATAAACTCATTCATTTGGAAGTATGCTCCATGCAAATAAACTGGACTTATTTCTAAGTTTATGACCAAGATCTACTAGATTCTATTGTTTCAGTCAAGACTGGTCATTCCCCCCATAGCCCTCTCTACACCTGAGAAACTAACATCAGAGGATTGGGAAACCTCTTTGGGATACCCTAGATACTTCAGTGCAACTTGGGAGTATGCTGGGACTGAAAGTCAAATAATGTAATGTCATTCGGTCATATCTGCAGCTTGACTGTCACCCTTTTGAGATAGTATTCCCTAAAAACAGTACTTACTGTGCTCACAAATGTTATTGTCTCCAACATGAAATAGTGCCTTGATGAATCAAAACATCCTACCAGAAAATATCAACTTTAACAAAATTTTCACACATTATTTTCACACTTAATGAATCTATCATTTTATCCTTTCCTAATTTACCTTCTAAAATTGCCTGCACTTGAAAACAGCAAACATTGGTGCAACCGAGATTCTTTAAATCTCTGCTTTTAATGTTACAGTGCACATGTAAGGATTGCATTATTCATCTATAGGCTGTAGGTGATCAGAGCCATCCAAAATAATGCATGAGTAATATTTTTCAAAACTACTATGATAAAACCCTGGATACAAAAATAGTTTTAGAGTCCAAGCTTGTGGTGACAGCAGGCCAGGGTGAGGTGGAGAGGAGGAAAGCACTGCTTAGGTCAAACAGAAGGACTGAGACTTGTTCAGCCCTGCATTTGTTGTTGTTAACTGCTGTCAAGGCAACTTTAATTTAGGGCTACCCTATGAATGAGGTCCCTTCTATACTGCCATATAAAATCAAGATTATCTGCTTTGAAGTGGATTATATGCCAGTGTAGACTCATATAATCCAGTTCAAATCTGACAGTCTGGATTATCTGATGTGATAATCCAGATTATATGGCTTTGTAGAAGGGTTCTGAGAGACCTCCAATCCCCTACTCTCAACAGCCCTGCTCCAGTCTTGTAAACTAGGACTGTTTTTGATTGGTTCTATCCATCTATAATATGGTCTTCCTCCTTCCTTACTGCCTTCTAAATTACCGAGAATTCCTGACTTTCCTAGGCCCCTTCTACACTGTCATATAATTGGGATTATCAAAGCAGATAATCTAGATATTATATGGCAGTGTAGAACAAAGTATGGCAGACTGTTTAGTGATTTTAGTTTCTAGGGAGACTTTAGGATTGATTTGCTCTATGACCCATTTATTTGTCTTTTTAGCAGTTTGTGGTGTCATAGAACTCTTCCCCAGGATCACATTTCAAATGAATTGATTTTACTCCAACCAGGAATCTATACTATTTACAATATGCTAAGTGAATTACCTCAGATCACCATAAACTGTAAGAAGCTTCAAATGAATTTTCACTAATAAAGTCTAACTCTATCCCATATCAGAAAATGACTTGCAAAATGAAATGTTTATTAAATGACCGAATTCACTACTTAAGACCAAAGTTATGGAGCCTTTTTCTTGCATCACTATGAAAATGAGAGTACCTTTAAAGAAGTCCCTTTCCATTGTTTGGAAAGATTTTGGTATTTTAACAGTTGGAAAGGATAATAATTAATACATTATTAATTTGCATTTAAGCTATCCAGTGAATAAATTGTGAGTAGGAACAATAAGGCTTAAACACATTGTCAAACGCCTTTTGAGTTTTTGAAACTGCTAATTTTTCCTTTTGTAAAGCCAGCTGTCTTCAAGTTGCTCTGTAGATTCTCATCCAGGAAAATTGTGTGACTCAGTTTGTTAGAATTTTAAAGTAAAGCTTTTGCTGTCTTTCTGATTATTTTTCAGGGTATTAATACAATTTACAAAACCAACTATCTTGCCTTGGATGAAATATCACAATTGCTTGCTCTCACAAAAATGTCTGGAAGAATTTTTTTGTCTACCAAGAAACTCAAAAAGCTAAAAGAATCGCCCTTGAAAAAAGAAAATATGTAGAGTACTGCAAAAGATATAAATATATTTTCTGAAAATAAAACACTTTTCACCCAAAGCAATGTCTAGCATTTTTTGTAGCAGAACACATTAAAATAATCTTGGTGTTATCCTTGAATATATCTTTTTTCTTTAGAGAAACACTTGTAAAATCCTCCCTCACACCCTACTTTTCAGGTGCCAGCCAATGGTAAGGATATGTTGCTTAGACATTTACAAGGAACACTTGAATAGTCACACTTACAGCTCTTTTCCAGCAAAATAATGTGTGGTTGATTTCAGACCACCTAATGATAACATCTTTCTAGCTTTCTGGTGATGTAAGTCTTGTTTAATCAGAAGAAACATTTCCATAGTGAGTCACAGATCTATTGATAATTATAGTCAGATCAAACATATTTTTAGAGTATGGGTAGGTTCTTAATCACAGTACTCAGTTTAACTTAGGTAGTTAAACTTCAAATTGAAGGGACTAGCACAACTCAGGTCACAAAAACTCCCTTATCAGACAATACTATGTTTGTATACTCAAAAGACTACCCATATTCAATGAGGACTATTCTTTCTAAGCATGAATGCACATGGCATTGTCATTGTTGTGTAGTGATTAGTGTATTGTGGGATTAGAACATGGAAGCCAATCTCTAGTTCTGACTCGACCATTAAACTCGATGATTGAGACCGGCACTATCTCCACTGTGTGTGTGTGTGTGTGTGTGTGAGAGAGAGAGAGAGAGAGAGAGAGAGAGAGAGATGGTGGAGAGGAGTGTGAGAGAAAGAGAGCTACCTGAAAGGGTTGTTGTCAGAATAAATTAAGGAGAACAAGAACCATACATGCCACCATAAGCTCATTGGAGGAAAAGTTGGATATCAGTGTACAATGGGGAATCAGTGGCCACTGGAGATTGGGTGCAGAATCTCCATGGCTACCAACATATGTGGATCTCAAGTCCTATTATATACAATAGGGTAGTAGTCTTCAAACTGAGGCCTGCAGCCCTCCAAGATCATTTACCTGACCCCCACCCTAAACTTTAGACTTAGAGTCACACTAAGTCTGAAATTACAACAACAATCCTGATAAACTTGACTAACTCATCAGCCAAAAGCAGGCTCACACTTCCCATTTTAAATATTGTATTGTTCTTTCATGTTTTTTGCATTACAAGTAAGATATGCTGAATGCACATAGAATTTTGTTTATTTTTTAAACTATAGTATGCTTCCCACAACAGCCTGAGGGACCGTGAACTGGCCCTCTGCTTAAAAAGCTTGAAGACACCTGGTATAATATAATGGTATCCCATATATAGAATCACAAGTTCACGGTGGCTTTTGGGATTTTTTAATATTTTCAATATGTGGATGGTTGAATTTTGCATACAGTATCCATGAATACAAAGGGATGAAAGCAACTAAAAAGTAAAGTAAGTCAATATAATTTGCAAACGTGGTCCCACATGTATATAGCATAAATCTGTTCTAGGGCTATAGTATATCATATATAATTTTCCTCCTTCTGTCCTTTTTGTGATGCATGGTTAGTACAGCAAAGAGTAGGGATGCCTATGCAAGCATACATCATAACAATGCATATTCTCCATGCAGAACTCATTCCTAAATCCCACTGCATGTAAAATTGACACAATGGGACAGAATGATCACTAGTCCTTAACCCCTTTGATCCACTTGTCTATCCCACT